ATACTTACAACAGCTAATTTCAAAGTGATGGTGTATTTTCTTACTGAATGACCCAAGGGATGTCTTCATAATTTGATTGGGACAAGATGGTTATTGTTGTCTTGTTGTTGTCTTCGCCCTTCTCCAGTCAGATCTGACGCTTCTGAAACTGACCGCACTGGAGAAGAACAAGAACTCTGATCTGGAGAAGAAAGAGGGGAGGATAGACGACCTGCTGAGGGTAAGATAAGGAAATCTGTCTCAAACTTTCATGGGCTAAACTTATTCTGGAGCAATTGGAACATCTGAAAGAGTAGTTATCATTTTATTCCTGACCAAATCTTCTGCTGAAATGCCACAATTTAACAACTAATAATGATTAACACCACAGTCAAGGATGTCTAAATAAAAAGCTATTCTCAATTGTCCTTGATAATCACCTCACAATCCAGAAAAACGTGTTGTCACATGTCACAACAGCTCGGGTACTACACCTCCTTGCTAACTTTCAAATGCCATTGTTGCTCAAATCAAATCTGGTGGAAATGTCAGCAAATCATCTGACACTCTGAGAGTTGTTGCATCCTGTCACTTTGAGAGCAAAACAGCCTTGATATCTTGTTTGTAATAAGAGACAAAATGTCACAGTGATTATGTGTGTTTGGGCAGGCTAACTGTGACCTGAGGCGACAGGTGGACGAGCAGCAGAAGATGCTGGAGCGCTACAAAGAACGGCTCAACAAGTGTGTGACAATGAGCAAAAAGCTCATGATCGAGAAGGTGGGTGCGCATATGCATTTTCACAAATATGTTAACTTGAAGGAAACAGCTTTGTTACCTTGTTAAAGGGTTAAGTTATTCAACAAATGGAAACCAATTTTGTCCAAAATAAGTACCAAAGAAAATATATATAAGCCTTTGGGCTCTGTTGAATATTTTTGGTTGTTTACATCGTCCGAAATGAGCCATTTTAAAGTGATATTCTTTTTCGTAGTCAAAGCAGGAGAAGATGGCTTGCAGGGACAAGAGCATGCAGGACCGTCTGCGTCTGGGCCATTTCACCACGGTGCGGCACGGAGCCTCCTTCACCGAGCAGTGGACCGATGGATTTGCTTTCCAGAACCTCATCAAGTCAGCATGCAGATAGGCACTCACATGTTTGCATGCTATCCACACTGCATGCCAGAGTGTTCACACTACATTGTTCTTGCATGTTTTATAGGCAGCAGGAGCGAGTGAACTCTCAGCGGGAGGACATCGAGAGGCAGAGGAAGCTGCTGGGGAAAAGGAAACCTCCCTCCATGGCTCAGACGCCTCCACCCAGCCTGGAACCGAACAAACGGAAAAGTAGGAATAACGGCCAGGAGAGTGAAGCGTAAGATTCTTTTCTTTTCCTTTTCCCATTTACCAACTTTTGAATCAGACTTGTGAAAGGCCTTAACAGGACAGCTTTGTGTTTCATTGTTTTTAACTTTAAAGTAGGTTATTTGCTGTCCTGGTTATCAACACTTGGTTTCCATTTTATTCCACACAGGTTGTCACTGGCTGAATATCATGAGCAAGAGGAGATTTTCAAACTACGAATTGGCCATCTAAAAAAGGTACCAGTCACCACTTAAAGCAGCTTTGTTTTGATTGTTTCTGGGATCTTTTTGTTGGACCTCTTGCTACATTAATAAACTAGAGATAAATTACAACTTCTACCTTTTCCTGTTTATGGAGGGTTGTGGTCGATGATAGATTTGGTGTGGTTGTTTGCAGGAAGAAGCGGAGATCCAGACTGAGCTGGAACAGTTGGAGCGAGTGAGAAACGTGCACATCCGGGAGCTGAAGAGAATCCTTAACGAGGACAACTCGCAGTACGTTTCATATCTGTTAAACATATGTAGCACAAGTTCTTCAGTGTGCTTTCATCCCATAGAAACACATTTCCCAACAAGTTTTTAAGCAGGTATTTTTCTGCAGATTTAAAGACCAGCCCACGCTGAATGACCGATATCTGCTATTACATTTACTTGGAAGAGGTGGCTTTAGTGAAGTATTCAAGGTGAGCACCACTTACATTCTTTAACAGACCAGATTATAATCTTTTTAACTCGTTTGGTCTTTTTGAATAATGAAAGTGAGATGATGGAGTTAGACTTGCAACGCCATACAGTGTTGAATGCAACTATCTTGTAGGCTTCTGATCTTGTGTAATGTTTTTGCAGGCTTTCGATATGACAGAGCAAAGGTATGTGGCCATTAAAGTCCATCAACTCAACAAGAACTGGAGGGAGGAGAAGAAGCAAAACTACCACAAGTGAGTCTGAAGCTCCATTTCATTTGCCTTCTCTTCCTTTCTGAATGCTGTTATTTGTGAGCTTTTACAAAAATGACTAAATGTTTTATGTCTTTTCAGACACGCCTGTAGAGAATACAGAATCCACAAAGAACTTGACCACCCGAGAATCGTCAAACTCTACGACTATTTCTCACTCGACACAGGCTCGTAAGTTCATATTGCTATGTTAAATTCCTAAAGGTGTGCAAATATACCAAGTGTGTCACATAAGTGCTTCACATATATATACATATATTGTTAAAAGGAAATTCTTTTAAGCAACTATAATATATATGTTTTAGAATGAAATGTATCAAATGAAAATAGGAAATGGGTTTTCTGGATAGATGTCTCTGCTGAATCTGCACGTCCTTTATAACACGTTTCAACTCATTTGTTTTTATTTCCAAAACGAATGATATGCTCCATTACCGCTGCTTGTGTAAATAACTACTTAGCTACCAAGTTTGACGAATGATCCGTTGGATTCCCTCTGCAGGTTCTGCACAGTGCTGGAGTACTGCGAAGGCAATGACCTGGACTTCTACTTGAAGCAGAATAAGCTGATGCCTGAGAAGGAGGGCCGCTCTGTCGTCATGCAGATCGTCAACGCCCTCAAGTACCTCAACCAGATCCGCCCGCCAATCATCCACTACGACCTCAAGCCCGGTATACTCACCGTTTTGATTTATTATATTGTCATTATGAAAAGGTAACCTAATGGCACAAGAAAGATGTTGTAAATAAGAGATTTTTGCACATAGGTGTAAGCATTTTATTGTTGTTTACTATTCTGTTCTGTTCTTAGGGAACATCCTGTTAGTGAATGGCACAGCCTGTGGAGAGATCAAGATCACTGACTTCGGCCTGTCTAAGGTCATGGATGATGACTGCTACAACTCTGCAGATGGCATGGAGCTGACGTCTCAGGGAGCCGGGACCTACTGGTACATAGACACATTTCCCTGCATTTAGTAACCAAGCAACAAGTATGGCTTCACGGTAGAGGCGCAGAATGAAATGTTGCTAATGATTTCACTTCACCTCTTGGTTCAGAAAAGCTGTGCAGACAGAAGTTTTTCACGTTTTCAATCTCGTATGTTGTGATCTTGTGTCTCACAGGTACCTGCCTCCCGAGTGCTTTGTCGTGGGGAAGGAGCCCCCCAAAATATCCAACAAGGTGGATGTTTGGTCCCTAGGGGTCATCTTCTACCAGAGCCTATACGGACGCAAGGTAATCACAAACCTGCATTCTTCAACAGGGATTTTTTTAATCTCACAACTAAACGGTCTGCTAACTGTCCCCCTGATCTCCTTTTCCAGCCTTTCGGTCATAACCAGTCGCAGCAGGATATTCTTCAAGAAAACACAATATTAAAAGCCACTGAGGTGCAGTTCCCCCCCAAACCTGTGGTGACCACAGAAGCAAAGGTGAGGTGCTCACTTCTTTTACCTTTATACATTCAAACAGTATCATTTAATCAGGTTTAAAGGTCCATTAAAACCATATGTTTCCTCTTGAATGTGACATTTTTCTATCTATCCTAATAAAGAGACAGTGCAACTAAGTTTAGAACGTATTCCACATCTTTCCCTTCATAGGCCTTCATCCGACGTTGCCTGGCTTATCGCAAGGAGGACCGTGTGGATGTGCTGCAGTTAGCCAGCGACCCCTTCCTGATGCCACACATTAGAAAAGCCCTGGCCAGCAGCACCCCTCAGGCCCCCCCCCTGCCCTCCACCTCCGGCTGCTACAGCAGCAGTGCCTCCAACTGAAGCAAGCTGAAACAAACCCAGTGAGGACAAAGCCACACAGAGACGTTACACTCTTGATGCATCTCCTCTTTGCCCTCTTGATTGTGAGAGGGCAAAGAGCATGATGGGATGTAAGATGTAAAAGTGTAAATGGAACCAAAATAATGGATGATGTGGTAGTAAGTTTACCCACCACCATCATACAAGTGCTGAAACTGAAGGGCCAGTCTGTGGCTGTGGGCTCAGTGGAACCCAAAGATTTGCCTATATGCATGCACTAACACAAACGTTGGTTCATTTCAAGGGGCTTTTACACGATGAATAGTAAAAGCACCCGGACAATTGCACAACTGACAGGCTGAGAAGCTTGGAAAATTGCCTGTACTCTGGAGGATTTAGAAGAAAAATAATTATGAAATGTTATCCCATTCTGCTTGAAATCTATCATAAGTGATCAGCTACAAATATATATATCCCTATAGGTTGGAACCTGGGACTTTAAGGAACGACTGAGCGAAGTCAAAAGCCGCCTGCCTTATGGCAATGACACCATGACAGGTTCATAAATTAAATGACACAGGAGAGTGCTGATTCTGGGCAGAGTAACTGGGTTTGACCTATTTAAATATTTTACTGGATAACTGGAAGTCAGCTTATTATTTTTAATTGAGTCCATATTTTTCCATGAAAGACTAAATGACCCCCTGTAATGTTTGTGTTAGGCTTACAGGGGGGCTGACTATGAGTGAGTGTTGTGATGAGAGTTCAACAGAAATAATTATGAAACCATTAAAAACACATTTGGTTAACTCTGTGGTGTCTTAACCTTGATTTGGGGAAATAATGCACATGTATTGTAGTTAAGAGTACACTGCTGTGTTTTCTATCTGTGTTCAATGTTCATTTATCAAATACTTTGAATCTATAAGAAACTCCACACCAATTTTACAGCATGAAACTTTTTATTAACTAAAATCCCACCATTACATGCATCCATCATATCTAAAACGGACAAATGGATGTGATGGTGCGGAGTATGATCACAAAGAAGCCGTATCAGTGAGCCTCTAAATACAACAGTTTACCTGCAACGTATGTATGTAACCGGCAAACGTGACAATTGCATTCGAGGTTAAAGAAATACTGACGCTCTTGTTGAATACTAAACAGTGTTAATATATTAAAAATTCAACCTTGAACTTCATTATCACAGCACACTTTTACAGCTTATGTTATAAGGACAAGAACACATGTAATCACTGTGGGGGTTACACAGTGATGGAAAGGTGTGCAGTGCAACAGGAGAGCAAGGAATCCTTGAACTTGATAAAGTGGTTAGAAGTCAATTTGGCGAAGATTTCTTTTACATTCTAGCCTGCGGAAGTGCGAAGATGTTTTAATGCATTATCAGCTCTTCAAAGATATTAATTAGTGAAGCAGAGGATGAAAGTGGTCTAAAGGACGCACAGGTTGTTATCTCATTCTGCTTCCACATCCCACTCGGCAGCAAATCATCACTTCTTTGTAAAATGTAAAAACACAGACAATCTGGACTGAAGATCTAGAATTGCTCCAACGAAGGTTTGTACAGAAAATCCTGCGACACAACCATTGCTTTTCCTTTGGCCAAGTAATAATATTCACACGTAATCCATTCATCAGAGGAAACTATGACTATAAATCACAAAGCATTGTCCAGAAGTCTCATCTGTTGTAGAACTGCGAGGTGACCCAGGCCAGTCCCCACTTCAGGTTGGTGAGCATAAACTTCAGCGCCTTGGTCCACTGCTCCTCAGAGTTGAACTGGGTTTTGATGGAGTAAGAGCCGCCGCTGCCACCCGTGTCCTCGATCTTACCCTTCTCCACATCCATCCTGAGGAAAAATGTCATTCATCACGCAAGACATCATAGATACAATTGTTGAAAAATACCTCTTTATTATTACATCAAAATGTGTGGTACAAAGCCTGAGGTACACACTGTGTGGCAATGCTTTAATAATTCAAACGCTCATGGAGCCAGATGTCCTTTTATTTCAGCAATGGGACAATTGATGAATGCAATTCTTGAGCTCCTCTAGAAATAAATCAAAGTAATGGTTTTGAATTTGCTTTCAAACTCCATCAATATTTACAGCCCATCTAATAATGCGGCAATAGCGCCAGATTAAAAATGATCACATTGTGCTGCAGGTTTCTGACCTGTATGGAAGGCAGAAGCCAGTGTCTCCTTTCTCCACCTCCTCTTTGAACTGCTGGACACAGTCCAGGAAGGCCACCATGGCGTGGTCAAATTTGTTGTCCCAGAAGAACCTCAGGCCCCCCGAGCAGTACAGAGGAAGTTCCTGGACACACACAGGACAGAGAGAAAGGGCAGGATTAGAGCCTGGGGGATAGTGTTTAATAATCACAGGAGGGCTGGGATTGTAAAGACCGTTTTAATTACCTTGGACTTGTCTGACAGGGACTCTAAGTATGAGTGGTTTCCGTAAGGGACAAGACGATATCTGAAGAGAGAAGTTTGAGATACCTTTTGCATTAGAATATTTGTAATAAATCTTACTAGATCCAAGAATTGTTAGGCAACATAAAGCTGAGCCTAATAATGTAAATCAAAACCATCTGCTCACATACAAACACCACTGTGTAATGTGATATAAATAGCATTGAACCAGAGCCATACATTAATATAGGATTGAGTTAAACAAATAGCACTAATTAAAGGGATAGAGTACATTTGTAAGATAGCAAAAGACAAACTAAATATTATCTCAGTGCAAGCACATTGTAATGTGGGTACCTCTGGAAGCGCAGCCCCATTTTGTTGGCCAGCGCGTGCAGCAGCAGCACCGTCTGCCCCCAGGCTGCGTTGATCTCGTTCCACTCCACCGGGACGCTGGGGAGTCGACCCAGACGGAAGTTGTTGATTGTACCAAACTGTCCGCTGTGCCTGGATAAGAACAACACAAAAATAATTAAGATTCTCAGTGAATGGGCATCGATTCATGTTTGTCCCAGAGGCTTTTTATACAAATATTGGCCAAGTCATCGTTGACGGCTTGACAGCAAAACTTTTTTTTTTTTTTTTTAAACAGATACAACATCATTTGCATGTGTTTTTACCAGATGTGAAATGTGGCATTGAAGACATTTGTCTTTTTCAGGCGATCTAGCTGAATCTGGCAGTAACGCATCTGGTTGTCAACGCTCTTCAGCTCATCATCCAGCTCCAGCTGCTGCCGTTTGAACTCGCTGTACTCCTTCTGGTACCTTTGAGCACAAAGAGCTGTTAGCTGTTGTCTCATTTGGCAAATAGCACACACACAGTATAGGGTCACACTCACTGAAGCTCCTCTGTGTCCAGCTGCTGGGAGTGGACCCTGCTCTGGGTCAGGTCCTGGGCCACCACAGCCCTCTGCCCCTCCACTGTCTCCAGCTCCTGGACCAGAGCCTCCTCCTGCCCTTTCAGCTGATGCAGATCTGCCAGCAGGGTCTCCTCCCCCTCCACCTGCAGGTGTGACAGCAGCTCCAGGCACTGCCTAAAAACATGTGCACATACAGTTTGTTACTATACTGCATTTAAACAGACAAATGGAATTAGCACTTTTAGTGTTTTTTTGTATTATCCATATTTGTAGGTAGCAACCCTGTCAGCATTTCCCCTCTCTTAATAATCTTTTTGTGTGAAAACTGATACACAAATTTTACTTTGTGGTTGAGCAGCTCACTTGTAATTCTGGCATTCGTTCTCTGTGATGTTGAGCTGCGTGTCCAGGTGGTCCAACAGGGTGTCGGTACATTCCTCACACAGCGGGTGGTCCACGTCTGTCTGGCCTGACATGATGTCAAACAGGTCACTGGTCACCTGGGTGGGATAGGATCAGAGACATCCAAACATTTACCCTAACATATACAGTACTTTGTCAACAGCCCATGCTTCTGACATGTTTGCAACCATAACATGATCAGAGTAAACTGTCATAATAAAACTGTCCTTCTTTATAGTAGCATGAAAGTATGGTTTACCTTCAGCCTACGACTGAGATTTTCCATGGTACCCCCATCAGATGCTTCTCCTATCAGTGTGAAGCTGTTGGCGCTCTCTGTGGACATCATCCTGTAGAGTTTTCAGCAGTATGGTTAACTTTGTAGCACCCCTCATTTGACAGAGAAACAAATCAACTAAGAGATAAAGATTTTATTTGTTTCAATTACTTGAATGAAAAGACTCACCTTGCAGGTGGGATGTATTTCCTTGACACACCATCTTGCTTGTTTTCTGCAAAGGTTTCCTGAAAGGAAAATGTAATTCGGACTCAACATGCTTCTTGAGCAAAAAAATAGTACTTTTCACTAAATTAGCAACATGAATCTCATCAGTAAGTTATCTCAGTCCTAAAATAGTTCAATTGCATAATTTTCATATATATTGGATATACGTAGTGGCAATGCCAGTAATTTGCAGTAAAATACAGTGTTATGTTGTGATGTATACAATCAACATTTTACCATTGCAGGCTACTGCATACAATCTGCTGTACCTACCTCTGGTGCTGTTTCTCCATCAGTGCTGTCAGCCTGTTTTCTGGGGGTCACTGTGACTACCGGAGCTTAGGAGGAGACAGGCAGGATTACATGTGCAATTGATCACACGTACATTTTAAGGCACCGAATGTCTATTATCCCTGGTTAACATACCAATAAGTTCCTGGATTGTGACCCGATCGAGGACATTGAAGGATGTGTCCAGTTTCAGCGGCTGACAGCACCGCTGACACACGAAGCTGACCTGCATGGTTGTGCTGGACGACTTAGAGCCCTCCATCGCTAGCTATAAGAACGTATGTTAAAAACATAGACTGTAAATAGCTAAACAAAATAAGTTAACGCTACACAATATAGCTAGACATATAGCGTTATGGCGAGACAGCTAGCTAGCAGCCACTACCTTTGCAGCTTACTCGTGTGAAAGATAGGTCAGCGGTGCAAACACATAAGATAGACTCACTGTCGCCTTGGTAGAATAACAACTATTTCATAATAATCATGATTTTGTAGCGTAGAAAATTAGAAATCACTTTTAATGTAGTTAGCGTGACCGTTGCATTTTGCACCTCGGGACTTCTCTTTCCACTTCCCTGTTGTTGTTTACGACGGATGTGACGTCAACTAAAGTCACGAGGAAAAAACATTTATATTTAATTAAATTGATACATATTTAACTGTTGATACATCTTTGACTGTTGGCAATCTTTTTATTCAGACAAAGAGAGAAAAAACTAAGGTAATATAAATGTCGCAACACAGGTAGCTTGAAATTAGCTGTTTTCTTTCATAACAGGTTCAACGTTACGTGACACAAAAGTAAATTATGACAACTAAAACCAGATAATCGGACACCATAGAGAGTTGGTGATGTTAGCATGAAAATATATAGTGGAGAAATTCTAACATGTTTATGTTAATGTTCATTTTCCTATGCACACTGACAGAATTTGTATGGGTTCATGTGTCTACGGCCAATAGGTGGCGATGTGACATGAACTCAAAACTGCCGTTAAACAAAACAGAAGAAGATGAAGTTGCGGGAAAACTGAAGCAGGCAATTCCTGTGTTGATAACTCCAAAGCTGTAAGAAAGACAGGTAAATATAAACACAAACACTTTTATAACAATAAGTCAGTGGCGTTTTAAAAAAAACTGTAATCTATCCTTAGTGTGACGTGTTGGTATAAGGGTCAATTGTGTGAAACTGAGAAAGTGTGAGCGTCAGTGTTGCAACCCAAAACAAATCATAGCAGCTAGCCAGAGTGACGTTTAGCTAGCTGTACATTTAACAAGCTGACACTGGATATACACATTTAAAAAGTCACATTACACTTTCGATATGCTACCAAATGTTGCCATTAATTGTAACTTCTGATTCATCTCACTGAAGTAGGATGCCTCAATAAATGTTGGTTTGTGTAACCTTATGCTGCTTTTGTAATGTGCCACAAAATGATTCTCAGTAGACACAACTAACATTATACACATTTGTTATACACAGATACTTTAAAGAAAACACTATACTTTTGCATTGTTGAAGTATCTTATAATCCATTAACATTTTTGAAACTGGTTTGTTTTTCAGTAAGGCTTGTAACAGATCAAATGGAGCACAGTAAGACCGAAGTTCAATTAGTTTTATTTTGGATATTATAATATACATGTATAGAGAACAGTTCACATCCCAACCTGGCTTTTATCTACAGGGTTTTCACTTAGGGACCATCACATTAGTTGTAGAATGTCACAAAGCCAATGCTCATCTCAATATCTTCTTGCTAGCCTGCTCAAATTAATGAAACTTATATAAAAAATGATAATGAATCACTCCTGAATGGAATACTGTTTTGATTACCAATGTGTCATAATGAATTGAGTGAAGATCTGTTTTAATGTTATTTAATAGCCTCAATGTAATGTGATGTAATGACTCCATATCGATACCAGATATTATTACTTTAATAAAATAAGACACACCTCTTTTTATCGGATATAAGTGCTTCTTCTTTTTTTATTCCATCTATTTATTTTTGCTGTTTTTTTATCCAAAAGTCTTGATTTCAAAAGCTTCTATGTCATGTGACCCAGTGACTCCAAATCAATGCAATATTTGTATAAACTACTCCGGAAAACTTGGACACACTTCTTTCTATTGGATTTGAGTCCACCTTGTATTTTATATGACAATTTAAAAAAAAAAAATCACACATTACAGCTGCCTACTTGCCTAACAATACAATCAATATTTACAGTAGGGACACAACTGAAGTACACACTTTTGTCTTAACTAGCTGCAGGGTCAACTTTCTGCGGACAAGGTTAGAAAATATCGAGAGAGTAATTTTGTTACCATAACAAAAATAACCAATCCAGTATTTGTTCAGATGCGCACAACCAACTGTCCACTGAATGCCTGTCACACTGGAGTATATAATTTTGTCTAATATTATCTTGTTCGTATTGTTCTTAGTGTGCTCTGATTTTTCAATTTCAGCTTATACAAATCACCATGGAAACCCCTCTGGCCCCTGATGTCAAAAAGGGGATTTCAGTCCTTTGGGAGACCTTGCAATGTCCCATATGGTGAGTGAATAAATTAAATTAGAAAATTTGACTGCCTCTGCCACTCTTTTTATTCATGCCATGTTCAACGTCGAACAAAAGTCCCTTGAAGAGCAATTTACCATGTTAATATAATTTGTTTATCAGCCAAATAGATTACAAAAGATCACATTTTTCATTTTGTTGAAGTGTCGTGTTCTTTACTGACTTTATACTTTCTTTGACCTATAGCTTGGAGTTAATGACTGCACCTGTGTCTACCAAGTGTGACCATCAGTTTTGCAAGTAAGAGGTGTTTCATTACATCGATTTTGTAAAAGGAACTAATGTTTTAAATGTTTTTTTACAAGCACTCACAAACACTATATTTGTTATTTTTCTTTATCACCAGATGTTGTATGATGAAGCTTTTGGACAACACCATACCAAGCAGGGCTAGCTGTCCAGTGTGTAAAACCAAGATAACCAGAAGGTTCGACAAAATGATGACAGTATGACATTATTATTGTATAATAATACTTTATATTTATCACAAGACATGTATTTTTTCTTTTTCTTTTACTGATGCAGGAGCTTGCAGGAGAGCCCTGGGTTTCAGAGACTTGTTTCAGGATTGCAGAGCATGATTCAGGCGTATGAAAATGACACGGGCATCAACTGTAAGACTACATCACAGACTCCTTAAAATAACTTTGTAACATTATCTTACATAACGTCATCTAATAAAGTGACTCTTATGGTTTCAGACTTTACTGGTATGTGCCAGGAAAAAGGAAAACCAGGGTAAGACTTTTGAACATTGAATCTTTAACCATTTAACCAAATGCTGATAAATTCACAACATTAGCTCACAATGTATTCTCCCCTGTATTTGCTTTAACCAGAGTCTCGGCTGCTGAAGCTACTAAACATTGTCATGATAATCCATTTGAGGAAACACCAGACAACGAAGAAAATGTTGACAATGATGATCTGTCAAGGTCTCCCTCTTCAACTATAGCAGGTAAAATCTTCAGGGGGGTGCATTATTTCACTTGAATTGACTATCACTTCAATATTTTGATTTTGAGAGTTAGGATTAGTGTGTTGTCTTACAAAAGATTAATCGTTTTTAATTTCCCCATTCCTTTATTGTTGTTTTTTTTAGCCCAGAATGGATTTGCACGACTGATGGGACTTGAAGACACAAGTCCTTTAACGACAGAAAACGAAGGCTTGGACAGTGGTCTTGGAGAGGCCCCACCAATGTCTGACAAGAAAACGCACAGCCCTCCAGATAATGTGGAAGCAATTGAAACAGAAATGTCAGACGTTGTGGAAAAGGCAACATCAAGACACAAAACAAGAGGCAAAATAAAAGCCTCCTTTCAACCACCATTAATAACAGATGAGACCAAAGACCAACCTTTAAAAAAGTCCTTAAGGAAAAAGCAGAACACGGATTTGGATCCTGACAAGATCCTTGAGGAGAAACAGAAAAAAAGTCTAGAGAAAGTTGCTGAGTGGCTCATGAAAGTTCCAACTGAAGGAAGTCTGGAGTTAGAGAAACCCAACAAAAACTCAGACGATTATGAGAGCTGTTCTTCATCTCCAACAATAAATGTCAAACAACATAACATCTTGATGAATCCTACCAGAGAGGACCGTGCTAAAATTCTCAATGAGCAGGTGTTTGGGGCCGTCTACAAACGAGAAAGAAAAGGAAACAAGAACAGCCCTCCAGCTCTACATGTCGAACCACAAACAACCAAGGAAACACAAAATAACTCTTATGCTGATATTGTCAAGAAAACAAGCACTGAAGATAAACATGGCAGCGATTTGGAGGAAGAGCAACAACGGATGGACCAGGTTATTGATACCAGTAGTGACATTTTTAAAGAAGCAGAAAAGATGGATGTCATGCTGGAAAATGACACGGACAAACACGGAGACGATTTTGACAGCTTGCCAGAAAGTAAGAAACAACATGGCAAAGATGAGGTTCCTTGCCCTCCGTCTGATATTGAACCACTACAACCGAAAAGAAAGTTGAAGAGAAGGACACGCAGCTCTCTGCAGCAGGTCGACATCGATTTGCAGAAGCAAGCCGAGGAACATTCAGAAAGTACCGAGCAAAAGAAAACTGACAAGAAGAAAGGTAAAAACACGAGGTCAGAAAATGGCAAACCGGCTAGAGTGCCGAAACCCCTTGTTCTGGTCGGAGTTCAAAATGGAGAAACCAGTCCTATAGCTAAACGGAGGTCAGAAGAAGTTCAAGTACATATTGAAAATTACCCAAGCAGCGAGGAGCAAGAAATCCCTGTCAAGAGGAGCAATAGGAGAAGTAGAAGACTTCAACTCTTTGCTGAGGAAGTCCAGGAAGGTCACAAGAAAGCAAACTGGAGAGCCAATAAAGCTGAAAAAAAAAGCATTGTTGCAAAGCAATCTGAGGAAGCTAAAGATGGAGAGTTAAATGATATGCCATCACCTAAGAATGAAAGCATGACAAAGGTGGCTGAACAAAATGGATGCATTTATGGTGATGATTTAGGAGGAGTAGAAAACATGGAGTCTGGTGAGAGACCAACACCAAATGCTCCAGATTCCATTGTCGAAGTACCAAACACTGACACTTGGTCTGAAGCTAGTTCTGCTTGTAATGTCGCTGTGGTCCCGAGCTCTACGAGTCCACATGAACACACTGTGGTACCTCCAACACTTGAACCCCACAATCCAGCAAATCATCTCCCTAACAACACTCGCTTGGAAACCTTGACTAACCAGACAAAATGTGCTGGAGCTGAAAATGAGGAAGATAACAATGACAGTGACCTGGACACGGAGCAACTGCTCAAGAGCTTCAAAGCCACTAAAAGGAAATCTTTCAATCTTTGCAGCTCAAATGTAAAAAGGACCCGGGGCTTCGACCAAGAAAACGTGCAGGTATCCGAAGAAAAGGATAGCAAGTGTGTTGGTTCTGGTGTTGAATCTGTAAATAATCAGATGTACACAAAGGAATCTGAAAGGACAAACCAAGAAGCATTAAGAGACAATGAAACCTCATCT